CTTCTTTTGGGTTCCTTGGCTGTTGGGTGCTGCGATGCGCCACTTCGCACTTGCTAATATGTCCCTCCGATATTTCCCTTCAGACTTTTACCATTGGTTGCCCACTCCAGTTTAAATTACTACTATATCTTTGCACTCCATTAATATTACTTTCTAATGGGAATCTTGCTCACACTTTACCTTCCTTCTATTCAATATCTTATTAATCTGTGGATCTACAATAATCCTCTTTAAAACCGGTGGCTACCATTAAATTACTGCACCATTCACTTCAAAATTCAGAGGAAAATAGTAAAAAAAAAGTAATAAATTGTATACTTTTATTATTATAATAATAATAATAATAATAATATATAAAATTTAATTTAATTGAATTTAAAAATAAACTATTTACTATATCATTTTACTGATATTTTAGTTCTACTTCTTCCCCCTTTCTTCTCACAAAAAGACAAGTATGCATTGAAATAAATGATTTTCTACACGAAATTGTATATCTAAAATTCTTTTTTTGCAAAATCATTACATCCAAACAAGGTTTTTAAAAAAATCTCCTTCAAAAAGAGAGTGATCAATCATGTATAAGTCATACTGTTTTGTTTGAGAACTCTCAGAATTATGGTAAAAAATTGTCATGGACTAATAGTAAGTATGTAGAAAATGTTAAGCTCGACTCTTAAAGATTGAGATTAAAAATTAATAATAATTTTTTTCTTAAAAATATATTTTATAAGCTCATATTAATATTATATGTATACATATATATCTTTTCACACTCTTTGATGTTTAACAATACTTAACCCGACATTTTTCTAAACATTTATGTTAACCTACTTGATTCATATGACTAAATAAGAAAGAGGAGTGTGTTGTGTAATTGAGAAATGTCTCCATTATTATGTTGTTGCGTAAATTAAGAATGATTTGTGTTGGGTTAAAAAACAATATATTGTTATTGATATGCCATATTATACATAAAACATTATATTGTTAGCATAAGTTTATAATATTTATATTAACAAACTCTAATATTAAACATTTTTTTTATTGTATGACATTTTCTTCTAATGTTTTAATACGCTCTTCTGCTCCTGGAAATGCTCCTTCAGTATGCCTTCAGCCTTCTTCTATAAGATCGGGGATTCTGTCCTAAAAATTCTCTCTCAAATTTTAAAATTTATCTATGAATATTATAATTAGTTTTTATGAAATATCTCTGAACAAAATGTCTAGTAAAGAACTAATGAGTTTATTTTTTGGTACTGTATGGGTATTATTCAATTAAAAATTCAGATATATCATATACTTTTTTAAAATTTTATAAATTCAAAAAAGATTAAATATTTTATTATATTAAACATGATTACTTAAAGAAATAAAGTTTTAAAAATAAATAAATTATAACATATTTAAAATTAAATTAAGATTAAAATAAAAAATTCAATATAAAAAATTTTATTTGTTAAAGTAAATTCTATAAATACTTTTATTTAATGATAAAATTTTTATTTAATATATACAAATAGGAAGGTAAATACATTTGCGTTATAATTTAATTTTTTTCTATTTGATTTAATTTAGATTTAACTCGAATTACATATCTGAATATGATAGATGAGTTTATTATTAAAAAAATTATATATATATAAAAATTTAAATTTAAAACTTTATTTAAATATTACTAAATTATTTATCACTTGAACTGAGTTGATAGTAATTTAAGTGTTATTGAACTTTAGAGAAATATAATTACGAGCAAATAACTTTTTTTTGGGCCATTTTTTACATCCAAATCCAATTTACCAATCAACGTTCTGATGGAAAATTAACTAACGTCAAATACGAATTACAAAGGGAGTTTTTCGATATTAAGACGCGTGAAACTTCAAAACTGAAACTTCTAAAGGTTAAAAGAATTTATGATACAAAATCAAGCAAACTATAAATCTTTTCCAAGAAATAACATTTTTATCGAACATTAATCAAACAGAGAATTCTTACTTATTCTGGAAATCGCAACTCAGCCGATCAAATGTTGAGGGGACTTTACACTGTTTCCTTCTTAATTTTATCAAGACCCCTTAGTGTAAAATTTTATTTACCAGCTTAATGGAGTTCATTTAATTTCTCTAGCCTCTTCACCCATATAAATACCAGTGAATGGTAAGTTTTAAAATGCCACAATCACAAAATGCAACACATAATGTGACTTTTTTAAAAGGAAAAAAAAAAAAAAAAGCAAATAGTTTAATTATAATATAGTAGGCCCCATTTGCGTACATATAAACAACATTACAAATGTGAAACAGGAATTTGACACCGCAATGAAATAGGTGGGATTCCTCGGACTTTTTAAAAGCAATATCAGGCATTAATAAAACAGAGTTTAGTTACTACTAAATGGTAAATTACTGTAATATTATTTTATTTCTTATTATTTTAAATTGCTTATATATATTTATATTTTATTTTTTAAAAAATAACATGTACAAAGCTTGAGTACTATGATTAGTTAAAAATAAAACTACATCAAATAATAGTGGGTGTATATTATTTATATATATATATATATATATATATATATATATATATATATATATATAATCTAATTAGTATAAGTAAGAAAGATACCAGTATCCTTAAGAAGTACAAACAACTCAAAATTACTAAAGAAAATAAAAATGTCAAATCAATGTAAACATCGTTTGTGTTTATAAATTATAATTACTTAAAAAATTTACTAATAAGAAGCTTAACTTCGAGTCTCTAGTTTGTGTATTTAATTATGTAATTGTATGCGGTTTTTTTTTAATATCACTTAAAATAATCTTAGAGGACTTAATCTAAATCTCTCTACAGTTATATGGGTTCGTAATTTTTTTTTTACGTGTGTTGATTTGATAATATAAAATTGAATTATCTTTAGTTTATGAATTTTTTTCAAATTTGACGAGTGAGGTGCTCTCAATAAATTTTTAGTTAACACTGAAATAAACCATCGCGTATTAATAGTTGAATACTGTGCTTATCTTTGTTAATATAGATATAATAAATTTACATTAATAAAATGGAGGATTTTTCTATCAAATAAATCTAGCTTATAAAAAATTTAATCGATAATTTTATTAATACACCATACTGTTAATGTAGATTGACAATTTATTAATATTAATAAAAAGTATAATAAATAATTTTTTAATTCCACAAAACGAGTACATGATAACAAATAATAAAATTTTATATAATATATAAAATTGATAATATTAATATATTAAATTACAATGTATATATATATATATATAATTTTTTTTATATGTCTGTGTTATAAGTACCCGTTAAATTGAGTTCAATTGCCATTTTTACTTTGAAAAACATATACTTTGACATCTCTTTGGTGTATATACACCCCATTAAAGAATAAAGAAATAAAAATATTAAAAGAACGGTAAAATATAATATAACCATATGTCAAAATTATTCTAACTCACATTTCCTAACTTTGTTGGATGACGACAGGGATGTCGTAGTCTTGAGATTGACCTGGTTATTGGTTGGAACTACATATTAGGATTTGGAGTTGATGTAGTAGCCCGAAACAAAATCGTGAGATTCACGAGTTTATTGTATTAAATACGTATGTTTTTCTTTTAATGAGATGTTTATTTTTTTCATTTTTTATTTTATATATATATATATATATATATATATATATATATTCTTTCTTTTTTTTTTTTCTGTTGTCATTTGTATATTTCCCCCCCTTGCTTTTGGCTCTATACTTCACACAAATAGGCGTGAAAAAATCCATTTTATTTTATAAATTAGAATCACTTGTCATTTTTATTTATTGTTTTTTTATCTCCCTATTGAAAATGATTTGTTATTGATTTTTCTTTTATCCTTTAAATATCAACATTTTCTCTATTGATTGTTATTATTTACGTCATTCTTAAATAAAAAAATAAAAATGCAAAACATCCTCCATTTAGGTGTTTTATCACCACGACATTAGAAATTAAGATAAAATGCGTAATTTCCCCCCTTAAATCATTGTTTAAAGATTATATTGAATATACAGTTCATCTGAATTAGAAAAGGACCACTATTTTTATTTTTATTTTCTGTAATAAAACTATACTCTCTAGTGTTTGAATTAATCTGAGACCATCAACTAAGTTAAATTACCCTCTACTAAATAATCTACATGTTTGATGTGCATAATAAGTAATTTAAAGGCAAAAAGAAACTATTGTCTTTTCCTTTAGAAAGTAACCCTAATTTTCACTAGTTATACATGTAATTTTTCTGATTTTTTCTTCTATTGATACTCTTGTTTAAATAAATTTTGTATAAAATATTATTTTGCTCTCAAATAATTATATTATTAATAACAATATTTAAGAAAAAAATTTCTTAAAAAAATAACAATAAACACACAAGAGTTATAATAAACACTTTCTTCTTTTAGATAACATTCCATCACTTATTATATTATATTATATCCTCTCTTTTTTTTCTTTTTTTTTTATCAATTTGTGTATACTTGGAGTGTATATTAATCACATTCTAGCGGGAAAAATAACAAAATTTTTTCAATTTTTTTTTTCTGTATCCTCCTTCTAAGTTCTTCACACCTCTCTTTTTAAGCAAAACATCATTTGTGTTTTCTAAAAAGACAAATTGAACATCATCTTCTAAGTACTGGTAGTGCTATTCATAAATTAAGATTAAAAATTTATTTTAATGAAAAACATATTTACTATTGTCAAAATAAATTCCAGGTTTTAATTAATAAATAATACAAACCATACCTAAAAAAATTACTTAAATTTTGTTCTTAAAATTTTATAAAAGAATGTTTGGTAAAGATAGTTTAATAGACATCTACACTTTAAGAAATAAAAGAAATCGAATAATTAAAAAATATTAAAATTAGCGAAGTGTTTATAAATTAGTCATTGAAATTTGAATAAAAAAACGTTCTCACCATTTTATCTATTGGAATAGAGAACAGGTGAGTAACTGACAAACATTTGTTTTGAGTGGGACATTGTACAGAGTCTTCCATGACTTACTTTGGCCACGGCTCCTTCCTCTTTCCCTATCCCCAACGACCCCTCTATATAACTGCCCCAATCCCTCCATCCCTCACCATTCACCATTCACCATTCACCTTCACCTTCACCTTCGTTAAAACACACACACTACCACCTTAAACAATAACACTTCCTCAATTCCCTTTCTATCTTCTAAATTCCCTCAATGGCGGCTTCCGTGGACAACCGTCCGTACACTTCCTTCCAACACGGCGTCCTTCGAACCTTCAAGCCAATCCCCGACATACCGCGTCCTAAGAACAAAAAGCTACCCCAACCACTACCACAACCACCCTCCGATTCCTCAAGCGACGACGAAGTTTCCAACTACAACCATCTCATTCAAAAGTCAAGTGCTGAAGTCGAAGCCTCCATCTTCGACCCACGCGACGACGGTACCTCCGACCAATGGATCCAACGGAACGCTTCCCTGCTCCGTCTAACAGGCAAGCACCCCTTCAACTCCGAACCACCCCTCCCTCGCCTCATGCACCATGGCTTCATAACCCCCGTTCCCCTCCATTACGTGCGCAACCATGGGCCCGTTCCCCGGGCCCGCTGGGAAGACTGGACCGTCGAGGTCACGGGCCTAGTGAAACAGCCCACTCGCTTCACCATGGACCAACTGCTCCACGACTTCCCAAGCCGCGAGTTCCCCGCCACACTAGTCTGCGCGGGGAACCGCCGCAAGGAACAGAACATGGTGAAACAGAGCATCGGCTTCAACTGGGGCGCTGCTGCCATCTCCACTTCGGTGTGGCAGGGTGTACCGTTGCGTAGCCTGCTCAAGCGCTGTGGGATTTACAGCCGCACCAAAGGGGCACTCCATGTGTGCTTTGAAGGCGCAGAGGATCTGCCAGGTGGCGGTGGGTCCAAATATGGGACGAGTATCATGAGGGAGGTTGCACTTGATCCCTCCCGCGACATCATCATCGCTTACATGCAAAACGGTGAGCTTTTGACCCCCGATCACGGTTTCCCCGTTAGGATGATAATACCCGGTTTCATTGGTGGCCGCATGGTGAAATGGTTGAAGCGCATCATTGTCACTACCCAGCAATCTGATAGTTATTACCATTACAAGGACAACAGGGTACTCCCCTCTCACGTTGATGCCGAGCTTGCCAATGCAGAAGGTTTTTATTTTCTTTCCTAATTAATTTATATTTTTAGTTATAATAACAACAACTTAATGTTCTCTCTGTTTCCAAACTTACAGCTTGGTGGTACAAGCCAGAGTATATTATCAACGAGCTCAACATAAACTCCGTCATAACTACGCCGTGCCACGATGAGGTCTTGCCCATCAACTCCTGGACTACTCAGAGGCCTTATGTACTCAGAGGTTACGCGTATTCCGGTGAGTTATGTCATTCCCACGAGAAATCTGACTTTGTATATTTCCCAATATTCGCTCTTTTTTATTTTCCTTTCTTTTTTCTTTAACATCTACGAAAGCATAAGGTACAGTGAGTAATATTAAATTAAGGAATAAATAAAACTGATGCAAGATACATGAACCAGACCCTAGGCCCTTGCTCCGTCCCTGTATAATACAATCAGGGAAGCTATTGCAATATATATATATATATATATATAATCATAAAATAATTACTAAATATATATTATTTGAAAATATAAAAAAATAAGTTTTTTTTTATCATAAAAGAATTTATAAACATTGGAAACAAAATGGTTACTTTTTGAATTCCATAGTCAAACTATTTTTTGGTGCTACATGTAGTCAAATGGTTTGGCAACAATTTTGAGTTTTGCCTTTTTCACGGAAACGAGCAACAAGGATATGAAAGAAAATTGCAATTATTCCTGGAAATTAACGAGTTTATGACTGAGAGGATAGGAATGTAGAAAACGAAATGCGAAATATTGGTAAAGCATTTGGTACATGTTGAATTGGACAATTGGTGACATTAGCATTTGGGTTGTGGCGTAAGGGTGTGGTATAGTAGAGCGCGTAATAGGTTGGGAATTGCGGAAATGGTGTTGCAACTTGCGAGGTCATAGGCAGTCCTTTGAAAGTTGTTTAGTGTTTGGAGATCCACTTGGAACTAAATTGATTGGTGGGAGTGAGAGTAAAGGTTATTGTTGTACGTGCAGGAGGTGGGAGAAAGGTAACACGTGTTGAGGTGACCCTGGACGGTGGGGAAACGTGGCAAGTGGGCACCTTAGACTGTCCGGAGAAGCCCAACAAATATGGAAAGTACTGGTGCTGGTGCTTCTGGTCCTTGGAGGTGGGGGTGTTGGACCTGCTTGCTGCCAAAGAAATTGCGGTGCGCGCTTGGGACGAGGCCCTCAACACCCAGCCTCATAACCTCATTTGGAATGTTATGGTAAGTACTCTATTTTCTCTCTCCCAACCTTTTTTTTTTTTTTTTAATTTCTACTTATAAACAGACGTCTGAAATCTGATACTTATAATTAATATAATTAACTACTAGAGTAGGTCTGGTCATGCTAATAAATGAGAAATTGTTTTGGTGTGAAAAAAAAAGGCTTACTAGCACTGTAATTTTGATCTCTAGTCTTTCTATTTTAGCCTAAGAAAATTATCTAATAATTAATAAAAAATATAATAAAGTATGACATTTTAATACTAAATACAAAAAAAAATGTGTATAATATTTTAAAAATATATAAAATAAAATTATAAAATACAGTAATAGTCTTAATTTTAGAGTTAATTTCACCTCAAAGTATAGGAACTAAAATTATAAGTGAGAAAAAAATTATATAAACGACTATGATTAAGAGATAAAAAGGGAAACTTAAAAATAACGAAATAAATTGTTGTAATTTTTTTATATGAACTACTCTGTGACAAATTAATTGTTTATAATATTCTATTATTCTAAGATGTAAATTTAAAACGAGTGAAAGGAAAAAAGTTAGAAAAAACAAAAGAAAAAAAAGGCATAAAAGCATAAGAATTGCTAGGAAATTTAGAACTGGTGCATCGGGTATGAATGTATCGTATCAAATGTCTCCCATCTTCATCCCCTTGGCTGGCGTAAAGCAAACCCATCACCATCGCCTGTCACACTATCGTTCTCGAGCGTGCTCATTAACTAGCTGCGACATTGATAATACTACATGGATGCTTATACACCATTGGCCCCGCTAAACTAGTGACAGCTGGCAGGGAATTTTATCATTTTTCTTAAATTATTCTCATTAAGAATAAATTTTCAGTTTGATAAATTTGATATAGTTATAATTAAATAAGTTGCCACGTTAAACATGTAAAAATAATATCAAAACTATACAGAAATAAAGAATAGATCGATTAATACTAACTTCCAGCTATTACAAGTTAATTCACTATCAAAGTTCTTAGTTTTTTTTTAATTTTAACTCTCTCAATCAGTATATATTCTTTTAAAGGAAGAGCGAATTCAGATTAACTTAAAATAATAAAATAAAAAAATATTTATATAACTCTTCTATCATTGAGTCTACTCCAAATATCTAAGTAAAATCACCTTAAAAAAATAAATACAAATAATAAAATAATGATCACATAATATTTTTTTAAATTAAAACTATATTAAAATTAGAACTATAAAAGTGAAAGTCGGTTGCTAACAAAACATTTATTATAAATATTTTAAATAAAATTTTCCTATCTTTTATTATTTAGTAACTATTTGCCTGTAAATCCTGTAAAAATAATGAATTCTTGCAGGGCATGATGAACAACTGCTGGTTCAAAGTGAAGACAAATGTGTGCAGGCCTCACAAGGGTGAGATTGGGATATCGTTCGAGCACCCCACACAACCAGGTAACCAATCTGGTGGCTGGATGGCAAAAGAAAAACAAATGGAGAAATCATCACACTATAATCCAACTCTAAAAAAGAGTGTTTCCTCACCCTTCATGAACACTTCCTCAAAAACCTTCTCCATCTCCGAAGTCAAAAGGCACAACAACGCCGACTCCGCTTGGATCATCGTTCACGGCAACGTCTACGATTGCACCCGCTTCCTCAAAGACCACCCTGGCGGCACCGACAGCATCCTCATCAATGCCGGCACCGACTCTACCGAAGAGTTCGAAGCCATCCACTCCGACAAAGCCAAAAAATTGCTCGAAGATTACCGAATCGGCGAGCTCATGACCACCGGCTACACCTCTGATTCATCCAATTCATCGCCAAATAACACCGTGCATGGCAATTCTGACACCATCCATTTAGCTCCCATCAAGGAAATTACACCACTTCGCAGCGTGGCGCTTATCCCACGGGAGAAAATCCCATGCAAGCTCCACTCCAAAACGTCCATTTCCCACGACGTTAGGCTCTTCCGTTTTGCGTTACCCTCGGAGGACCAACTCTTGGGTTTGCCAGTAGGGAAACACATATTTTTATGTGCCACCGTGGACGAGAAGCTATGCATGCGAGCTTACACTCCTACTAGTAGCGTAGACGAAGTGGGGTACTTCGATCTAGTCGTCAAAATTTACTTCAAAGGGGTGCACCCAAAGTTCCTAAACGGTGGGCTCATGTCTCAACACTTGGACTCGCTTCCTATTGGCTCTGTCTTGGACGTGAAGGGCCCACTGGGCCACATAGAGTACACTGGTAAAGGCAACTTTGTGGTTCATGGAAAACAAAAGTTTGCCAAGAGGCTAGCCATGCTGGCTGGTGGGACCGGGATCACACCCATTTACCAAGTGGTTCAAGCGATTCTTAAGGACCCTGAGGATCAAACCGAGATGCACGTCGTGTATGCGAACCGAACGGAGGATGATATATTGTTGAGGGAAGAGCTTGATGCGTGGGCTAAGAAGCATGATAGGTTGAAGGTGTGGTACGTGGTACAAGAAAGCATAAGAGAAGGGTGGGAATACAGTGTAGGGTTCATCACGGAGAGTATTTTGAGGGAGCATCTCCCACATCCATCTTCTGATACGTTGGCGTTGACCTGTGGGCCACCACCCATGATTCAGTTCGCAGTGCAGCCGAATTTGGAGAAGTTGGGCTACGACATCAACAACCAATTGCTCTTGTTTTAGGGGACTCGGTACTATGCTGTATGTGTATATATCTTATTTTATATATATAAATATATAGTTCTATTAGCTTTTTTTCTTTCGTTTTTTTTTAATCTATCGATTTTTAAACAAATGTGTATATAGACAGCTAGCTAGCTCTGTAAGTTTACTTTTCCTCCTCGTCGAGTTTTGATATAGACAAGTAAGTCAATGTCTTGACTACTTTTTCTATCTATAAAATAAAATGTAAGTTGCAAGTGGAACTATCATTATTCGATAAATTATTTAGCATTTGTTTTCATACCCGTCAAAGAAGGGGGAATGATTATTGTCCTTATTCAATTTAGATATCCAACCCTTTTTTTTTAGTTGAGATAAATTTTGAATCTCATTTAATAAAATCAATTTTAATACTGAAAAACCAATTTTATCTCGATCTGTTTGTTCCAAGTCCCAAGACTAGCACCCTATGCTATTTATGTTTAATGGTTCACTTGAAGAAAGCAATAGGCCCTATTTATTTTGTTAAATTTTGCTGCATATGATATCTATTTTTTCTCTGTTTTTATTATATATATATAATATACACATAAAATATATTTTAATTATTTTTAATTATTTTATGATAAAATAAAATTTATATCTTATAATGATATTTTAATATATTAATTTGTAATAATATTATATAATGTTAATTTATATTAAATAAAATAAAAGTCTAAAATTATATATATATATTTTGCTGTGCTAAGAAACTATATCTACATTTTAAAAATCAGTTTTAATCTAATTTTTAAAAAAGTAATATAAATTGTTTTAAATTTTAATTTATATAATTAAATTTAAAATATATTTAGATTAAATTTATACAAATCTAATATATGGTGACCCCTAATTTTTGGTTATTTATATTTTGAAACACGCGAGAAAAACAAGCAAGAGAGAAAATATACTAAAAAAATAAAAACCCCACCTTCAATTGATTCGTGGAGAGACAAGTAGAAGTATAAAGTTGAGGCGGAAATCATCATTTTTTTATCCCTCTGTTTTGAAGGATTGTACGGATAGGTGAGGACGTGATTGTTGTATACATTTTATAGATAAATAATTAATATCTATGCATTATAAATGAGAGTATTCATTAATATGAAAAGTAGGACGTTATTTATTTTACAGTGTATTACGTGTACTTTTTAATATTAAAATTGTTTAAGAATACTTGAATTACATATTCTCTCTTTGTAATACTTTTTTATTTTTTATTTCATTTTAAATTTATAAATAAAATTGTTACTCAACTTTCTTTTATTAACTTAAATAAACTTTCATGTTTTATGTAATTTTGTTTATATTTATAATTTTTTTACAAATACTTTTGTTTATTAATTATAATTTATAATACTTAATATATTAAATTTATTATTTAAAAATTATTATAATTTGAATAATTTTTAATATATTGATACGTATTATTTATAATTAGAAAAATAAGTTTAAATAATTTTTAAAAATCAATATTTTAATTGTTTTATCATATATAATATATATTTATTTAAATAAAATATATGTGCATAAAATTAAAGGTATATATATAGAATTAATTTATGGTAAAGTATAAGATGAGGCATTAAATTGGTTGTTGTACACATGTAGTTGTCCTGGAAGCGGATGCATGCAATGGAAGCAAAATAGATGCGCGGCATCACACAGCCGTCACCCTTCACATTAACATTAGGTCAAGGAAAGTTGCTTGCTGTTTGGTTCGCGGAAAGGTCACCCCCTCATATATGCATGTTCCTGCTTCCACGCACACCAACGTCACCCTCTCTTTCCCTTCCTATTTCGTCCTGTTATGAACCCCCTCTGCCCATTATACACACTTAATCTTATACTCTTAATTAATTAATCATGTGCCTTTCTTACTTTTAAAGAAAGGAATCACTGGCGCCCATCATCCTAGGTTGATTCCTATGTGCCAAGGTTGATATTACTTTCTGCCAATTAATTAATTACCAATTTTCTTCATTTTATCTGTAATATATATCTAGATTGCCAGCTACAGTAGATAGGAAAAGCTAGTTGTAATAATTAATATGTTTCATTCTAGTTGGAAATGAGCTCCAAGGACGTTGGGAGGACAGAATCAATCATTTACAAAACAAAGCAACCCATTTTTTTTCCATTTACGACGCCTTACGAAAGCAGACCAATAGTTTTTTAAAGCAGATTAATAGTTTTATAAATCAACTTCCGTCTGTTGTATTAAGCGGCTACTTTCAACTTTGAAGAGAGAATAAAAGCACAACCGCGTTACATGTTTTAGTGCAATAACGTGTTTCTTCCATGATCAAGCCTAGGGTAATTATAATAATTATACAATTAATTGAGGTCCTTAAACAGCACCGGTACAGGCGGTTTGAAGACGGGAAAAAACTAATAATATTTAAAATGTTAATTAATGCCAATTTAACAAAAAAAAAAGTGGCAATAATTTTTTGACATTGATTAAAATAATGCACAAATATCTTCTTGCAAGTTTTAATAAGATTCAAGCTAGTTTATTAGATCAAGTGTGCAAGCCATTGACTAACACATGTAGATTCAGTAATTAGAAAAATGAAACCAAGCATTTATATATAATGTCATATTATTATAAGCTCAAAATATTGATATTAACAATTCATTTTTTTTGGTTAAAAAAGCATAAAAAAAATAAATCTAATATTAAATCATTAATAAATGATTTTTTTTTTTGATGTATTTCCTCCAATGTGTCTACGTACTGCTATTGGATTTACCACGGTGCTTGCTTGTCCACAAACTTCACCAATTGAGTTATTGAGAAGAGGCTTAAATGCATAACGGTTAGAAAGGTGACATATTTTAGTGCATAAAGACTACAACAAAAGATCTTGAGGCATCAATGTCAATCATGAGGTGGGAGCATTGCGTACGTATCTAAGAGTGTACCCTCTTCCCTTGTAAAAACGAGAACCCGAGATTCATGTATGTTCTATTTTTTCTACGTTGTCCCAATGTTAATATTGATCCGAGACTGAATTGGTGTCTATTTTCCATGAACTCGGCACCACGAGTTACCACTCAGATATTTCGACAAGTCCATATATTTTTAATATTTAAATAAAAGTAACAACTTTTGGCAGCGTTTTCACAAGTTGGTAGTGAACTGCGACATCGAATTTAGATTGATTGCATTTGCCTTTCAACTGGGCAATATTGACCCTACAAAATATTTGTTTCGTATAAGAAAGAAAAATGTTCAAAACACAATTCAGAAAGTTGGAGCCTGGCCTCGATCAAATAAGTTATAACTTCACATATTGTATTTGCTTCCGCGATTTGTAGCATCATATGGATATCAGAATTTAACTTGGCCTTCGTAATATCGAAAGGGAAAAACCATACTGATAAGATTCCCAATGTTGAAAATTTGCATGCCCATATGGTCCATTAAGATCACAATCATAACGAATACATAATGTATTATATTACTGCGTGAGACTTTCAGAAAATGACGCCGCTTGTCGTTGACAATATATCTTGCTGATCATTTTCCATTATGTAGAAATTTGCACGCACCTCATTCATATGTTTTTTTTTTAATTGGATCAACTATCATGGACCGTTTTCCTGAAGGGTTTGTGCGTCAAGAATGAGATGGGCCTGGAGGAAAAAAAGAAGCCCAAATGAAAAGCGTGCTAATTCGGGCTGGAATGGGCTTTCAGATTGAAACAAGTGGGTCAGGAAAGGATAGATAAGGCTACGGATATGGCTACGGTGGATATTGCAGAAGGGTAGAGCAAAGAACAGAAAATGGCGCAAACGCTGGCAATGCCTGTGGCACCCTCACACGCTATTATATGCAATACTCGCCTCGTCAATAGAGTCCCCATTCCCGTTGTGAACCCTCCGAAACCCAAGGTAACAACAACACACGATTAGGGTTTTGTGTTCAGAGAAAATTATAACATGAACGAATTTGAGGGATGTGCAGGTTAATGGGTTAAGCATAAAGTGTGTTCGTGTTGGGGGTGTAGAGATTCCAAACAACAAGCGAATTGAGTACTCGCTGCAGTACATTCATGGAGTTGGGAGGAGCAGAGCGCGGCAAATTCTGTGTGATATCAACATCGATAATAAAATCACCAAAGATCTCAATGAGGAGGAACTCATCACTCTCAGGGATGAAGTTTCCAAATACATGATTGAAGGCGATTTGGTATTTTCTTACTCTGACCTTTTCTTTCTCTCTTGTTTTTGTTTTCTGTGTGTTGATCTGTAATTGTTCAATCTTTGGGGTTCAGAGACGGTTTAATGCGCTTAATATAAAAAGACTAAAGGAAATTCAGTGCTACAGAGGAATTAGGCATATTCAGGGACTTCCTTGCAGAGGACAGCGTACCAAGAACAATTGCAGGACCTTGAAGGGTAAGAGGGTTGCCATTCCTGGCAAGAAGAAAAAGTAAATAGTTTTTTTTTTTTTGTATTGTTGTATTTTTATCAGCAGTCTTGTCAGAAATTGGGAAAAAATCAATGTTTACTATGGTTTAATTGGTTTGATAAATCACTTGTAATCTATCGGATTTGGAAGTTTAACTAAAGTTTCTTTGCAATGCATACCGTGAATCACACACTGCATGGCTCTGTTGAAAATTTGGTTCTAGGAAGAGAGACTTAGATAATATCTCATGCTCCTCTTGCCAACTATTAGATTAGAAATATTAATGTTGGGTTTAATGTATTACTTCCTACTTTCTATATCCTAACCTTTTTAATGGGTTATGTAGTATGTGTTGTTCAAGTGAAATTGGTCTGTGTGCTTAGTTGTAGAATTATTTTGGTAGATGACGATAAAATGTTCGAGTCTGGTATCTTGAAGTTTGGCAAATGTCATCAAATGTTCAATCTTTTGCACTGCATGGAGTTGGGTTTATTCAACCACTTTGTTGTTCCAAGCTTTTATTTGAGTATGTAGCATGTGTTGTTTGCATGTAAATGATCTGAATGCTTAATATTATTTGTAGGGTGATTTTTGGTGTGGTAGACTAGTATTAATTGTTCAGTCTAGTAGCTTGAAGCTTGGCAAATGTCATCAAATGTTTTGGTCTTTTACTCTTACATTAGAAGAATTATGTTCAAAACTTTTTTTCCCCCTCACTACCCATGGGAATGTTAGCAGTTATCAGCTATATTTTAGATGAGTCTGTTCGAATTGCTGCCTTTTCTTGTCAATCCACTTCTAATCTCCAAAATATTTCCTCGATTTTCACAAGCCTTGCAGAGGTGTCCGATATCAGTGCAGTTTTTGTAACTCCTTGCATAACTTCACGTTGCTCAGTTGTTTTCATGTCCACTGATTTTTTTATTGAACATCCAAAGAGCATAATTACTGGCCCTGTTAGACTATTCACCAATCATATGCTGGTTGGTTAATTTATTTTTATACTGAAATATTATTATACTGCACTCTATTCATGCCATCAACTGTGATGTTGTGTTCAATCGTGTACATAAACTAATAAATAGCTTAAAGAATTGGTCGTGTTGGCAGAAATTGTAGCTAGTGAACTGGTGATGTCACCAACATAGACTTTTTTGTGACCTGTTGAATACTTTGCAGAGATATACAACAAATTAAACAAGCCATTTCCACTTTGTAGAGTGCAGGACAGTCTTAGGACGGGTCATTCTTTAAATTAAGATACAAATATTGAATGAATCATTTCTAGGTCAAAATAAACATATTTACTAATTTATTTAACGCCTGCAACTGGTAACTGATGAAATGAATCAAATCATGACATGTTTACCGGCACGGGTCCTGTAAAACCAAATTGACCAATCCGAATTCAAGAAATTAGTTCATGATTCGTTCTCTTTTTTTTTTGGCCAATATTTATGATTCATTCTATTTCCTCAAATTTACTTCTCTGTCTCTGTCAAGCCTTGACATCAATGGTAATACGAGAACCATTGGGCTTTGGTCTGTAGATTAGATGGGAGTGTCTCATTCCATTTCAGTGGTTTCAATCTGGCTAAAATAAACTAGGTATTTTCAAGAAACTAAGAAAATAATTCAAGCAATAATTTAGTAGAAAACTATGGAGATGCTCTTTTTTTTTTTTTTAAATATAGCGGAGATCACTTTTTTGTTAAAAATCCGTGCAATCTAAATTTCTCAAAGCGAAGTAAAAAACTCACTTTGCATAAACTCCGTTACAAACGTTGTAACAAAGAAGCCGGTAATGTACAGTACAGAGCTGGTAAGTATAAGGGATGATAAATCGGAATGATAATGAATCCTATATTTGCTGGGTATTTGCAAAAACTATTCATAATGAATAGGATAAATATTTGTTTAACGAGTTTGGGTTTGAAAATGAGTAAAACGTGCATATACACATACATAAACTAAAGTTTCAAAAAATTAATTTTGAAATTAATTTGTATATATATATTATATGGGAAGTTCTAAATAGTACGGAATGAATTTCACAAAACTGCAAATAAACGATCCACCGTAATTTCCGTCAAATACTCATTTTGTTTTATATTTTCTTAACTGAAGTGTTATCAATTAAAATGAAGCCACGTACGTTTCATCACTATTTCATGCAAAATTTTTGTACTAACAAGCAAAACTCATTATATCATAATTTAGTGTTTTATTTCATTTTATTTAACTTTAGATGATTGATTTTATTTAAAATATTTTTAAAAAGCACTATTTTATATCGATGTTTATGCTTTATTATTTTATAAAAAAATATTAGGGAAAATTGTATTTTAGTTCATACAAATAGAGGTAACAGGTATGGATATGAAGATTTAGGTATCCAAGATAAGAATCGAAATGAGATAATTACAGATAAAATTCAGGTATGAAAACGGGTAAGATACCCTACCCATATCTGGTTTAATTAATAGGAGTAATAATCTCTCTCTCTTCTCATGCATATATGGGCTTAGAGCCTGTTTGGTTATTCTCACCTTAACACAATTTCAATGATAAGATCACGGCGAAGACTGCTTTGACCTTAATAACTATGCAGACTAATACGCTTAAATACCAAGCTATTATAGGCTCAAGACACAAGGATCGACTCACTTTAATCCTTGCATGCAATCAGCCAAAAAATGTAATAGGGAAAATCCTCTTTAAAAGGAAGATCCATCGCTGAAATGGGCCTTATAGAAAGCCTATAAGGGTCTTATGGGCAGGGAGAGCAGAAATGAGATAAGAGTTTAGAGAAAATTTCCATCCCGATCTCATAGTCAAATCAGATATAGAGGCTTCCTATATTTTTGTCATCAGATTCCATTGAAAGAGCAACAGAAGCCCAAAAACCCAGGGCCCAAGGCAATACAGAAGTGAAAATAAAGGTAACCAACACTTTGATTAGCTAAATAAGATACACTCATTCTACTTGGTCTTCACACGTGCCGTCGTTAAAATAAAGAAATACTCCGCTCCAGGTTTTTTAAAATTGAGGATTAGGTTAACTTTCATCTAAAATTAATTTTTTTCTTCAGAAATTCACTGGTGCAAAACTATAATTATAGAAATAATTATTTATTTGTTTAAGGTTTTATGTAAAATAATTAATCATCCAATGCACACCTATTCGTCCAAAATGAAGCTATACGGTCGAAAGTAAATGGAATTGATTAATGTTTTGAAATATGTTTCATCTTTGTCTCTTATAACTTATGAAAATATCGTCAGGATATTTTGCAGCTTTTTTCATTCTTTGTTTATTCCTGCAGGTATTGGTATCTGTCTATATTTACATTGATTAGTTTTACTACAACTATACTGATGTTGTTGTGTCGAAGACTCAAGATTGTGTGTTTATTTTTCTCGAAAAGATTTGTGTTTGCTCCTTATCTTTTGTGTCTTTGTTTTTGGTCGAAAAGATTGCTCCTTATCTTTGTTTATATTTTCATCTGTATTTTAATTACTGGGCCATGATTCTCCTTTAAGGTAAATGGATGTCTAACATTTTTGCTGATGCCCAACTCATTTGCATGAACTCAGTTATGAGTTGTCATTGTTTTCTTGGACCAAAAAATTACATTTTTTGGTCAACAGGAATTGTCGTTGTTAAAACAATCTGTATAGTATAGTCTCAAGGGGCTCACAACTCACTTTCAGCCCATTGTTCTCAACTACTCAAAGGACCACAAACAGCTTGCCCGGTAAAGGGTTAAAAATCTAATATATAATAATAATAATAGTACCAATCTTGTGATGCGGTATACATCAAAATACTATTGATTTGATCCTGTTTCTGTCCCAAAAGCTTAAAATCAAGCATGATCACATATTGAGGAAATATATTAGACCCAAAAACATGTGGGCACAAACTAAACATCCCACGAGAGAGTGTGGACAATGTGTCAATTATTATTTTGGTTGACATAAAATCACAACTATTTTATGTGCTATAGTGGGGTTCTTTTGTACTCGGATTGAGAGACCTTACTCATGACATTCCTTGTCTACTTTTAAGTGCATATGTTTTTTTTTTTTATGGTGTACATTTTAATGAAGGGCCTCTTTCTGGTTCGATAATGACTGCCACACAGGGGACCTCAACTAATGAAAAACAAATCTGTACTTCACTTTGATATATACATATCTGTCAAAAATCAACACTCCACCCAAAAAAAAAAAAAAACACGAAACCCTCAAAAGAAAAGAGTTAAAACAGAGGAATGAAAAACGAAGCACATTTTTGGCATTGGAGCATTCATTTATTTTCGGGGCTAATTTTTTTTTACTATCATTATTTTCTACTTTTTTTTGTCTGAATTTTCAACCCATTCATTTCCAACGAAAGTGATGCTCCCACATTAATATTGAATCTCAAAGCCCAAATTATATTCCAGAGCGGTTATGCTTTGAGAATAATGCCTTCGGTTTTATTTCATAAATTTCCATTGATGCATATTTTCTAACTTTTTGCATAATTTCAGCTTCGTTACGGCTTCATCTCTGGCAAGAGGTGAAAAATTAAACAATCTAAAATTTCTCCCCCATTTGGTCAATATGGGAATCTCCCATTTCTCAGAAAATATATGATTCTTCGGAAATAGTCATTATAAGAAATAAATTGTAGATTCTTATTAATTATGTGACATTCTACTTGATTAGCATCCATGTGGTAGGGCACTTAGAACATGCATCTTATAAAATCTTTAAAAAGGAGTTCCACTTCACCTAAAACAACAAATGGCAGGGCCAGCCAAGTTTATGGAACATTATCTGTGTATATGCCCTACTTAATTGCCTTACCTTTCACGCGATTTAAACCAGGAAAAATGCACCTTCCTATTGCTTTCACTCACCCCCTTATCTATTTGTCTAGCATTGTTTGCCTATAGTGGCGACCATTATCTATACAGAACGATTCCTTTACTGGGTACTTGGAATTTTAGTCAAAATTGGTCTTCAAATTCGAATCAAAGTCAACACTTACCTAAATTATAGACCCTATATATACAAGTCGTCACATTGACATCAGCCAAAGGCTAATATTATCACTATATTGAAGCTTTGATTTTCTGTTCTATGGTTATACAAATTGAGAATTAAGGTCTGAGGTGGCGTTGTAAAAGGTATCGGAGCCTTGGCAGGCCCCTAGAAGAAAAAGAGAGAAACAAACAAACAATTTTGCTAAGAAGAATATGGTGTATGATTTTGACATTTTTCAGAAAGGAAAAAGTGCATGGGTCCGAGAGTTTGGCAGCTATTTTTGCCTAATTTATGTGATGAAAGAATAGAGTAATCATATTATATTTTAGATGATACTTCTTTTCCTAATCCCTTAGACAACATAATGAAAACTTATATTATTTAATTGTTTCTACATGAATTGGAGGGGCTCAACTCTTTCACATTAGTTTCTAGTGC